TAAAATTTTTTAAAAAAAAAAAAAAAAAAAAAAAAAAAAGGTATATATGCATATATCTATATATAACACAGCACAAATAAACCTATGAGAAGTCTATCTACGAACACCTGACACTGGCTGTCCTCGCTTTGTGGGTGGAAAGGTGACTCAGCCAGGCCCACTGTGCAGAGTTCTGGCAGGGTAAGGGAAGCGGGTGCTGTTGGCAGAGTCCGAGGCCTCGATCCAACTCTGGCCATGAACGGCTGCGCTCCCGAACCCAGTGTGTGGTCAGAAGGAAAGCACCCTTAGCACCAACATGCTGGCCACAGTCCCTATCCCTCGAAGCTTCTGCTCAGCCTCTTCCACCTCGGGGAGGCAGAAGGGGGCAGTGGACAATGTGTTTGGATTTTCGCATTAAATTCCCTGGCGGGCTGGGGTGCAGCTCAGTGGTAGAGCGCTTGGCTGGCAGCTGCAAGGCCCTGGGTTCACCCTGGTACCTCACACGGGCACATGGGCACGATTCAGCTGCCAGACTCCTGGGAAGAGTGCGGGAGGATGGGCTGTGCCTGGCTGCACTTGGAAGCATGGTGTGAGGGCTCTGAGCGGCGGGAGCTGGCTGTCCTGCGGGGCGCTGGAGGCTCAGCTCAGCTTCTTAGCTTTGCCTTGACAAACTTCTTTAGCCTGTTGCCACTTAGACCCCTTCCGCCCAGGCCATCCTGTGTAGTAGGCGGAAGTCTCTGTCCTTGGCCCTGTCTGCCTGAGTTTTCCCTTTGGAACTTAGAATCTCCTTCCAGAAGCTGGTCCCAAAATGGCCCATGACTTCCCAGACCTCTCTAGTCCTGGGTGCCAGTGCAGGAGCCTGGAAGAATGCTGCAGAGCGCAGGGTGGCCTGGGCTCTCCATGAGCAGGCCCACACTTGTCCTTAGGGTCACGCATGCTTAGGCGCAATGTTTTTCTGATTATCAAGGCATGAGAAAGGGGTGGTACACTGTGTGAGAAGTAGTTAGGGCTCAGCTTTTTTTATGTTTTGAGACCAAGTCTCACTGTGTACAGAACTCAGGCTGGCCTGGAACTAGCAGTGTTCCTCCTGCCTCAGCCACCCAAGTGCTGGGGTTACAGGCATGCGCCAGCACAACTAGCAGGGCTCAGCTTTTGACCTTGAAGATTGAAGATTCGGGTTCCATGTGTAGTGAAGCCCAGACTACCAAGACTGATGGGCTGGCTTGACTCTTCTATTTTCCTTTCTGCCTCTCCCTTTCTCTCCCTGTCTCTCTCTATCACCCTGTCTGTCCCTCCCTCCTGTGTTCTCTTTCCCTCTCACCCCTTTGTACTTTCTACATCCTCAGCCCTTTTTATTTTGAGACCAGGTCCTGCTTGGGCTGGGCTCAAACTTGAGTCCTGCCATCCATCACCATGTGTGGCTCAGGAGTCTCCTGACAATCTTCTCACCACTTGCACACTCACACCTGCTGACCACTATTGTATCAGCTCCTAGATGACAGGGCCAGACACCTCGATGGCACAGGTAAGGACAGGAAGAGAAGTTGCTTTTGTGAGAGCTTCGAGTTCATACACTGAAGTTATCTCAATGAAGCCGGGGATGTTGCCCAGCAGTTCTGCCTCCTGCCTTGCAAGCGCAAGGTCCGGAGTTTGATCCCCGGTACCAAAAAAAAAAAGTTAATGAAAATGGGTTTGCAAGCCCTGGGAGTGCAGCCACACAGCAGGAAGTGACCGTCCCAGCCCCTTCCATCCTGGCCTTAAATTTCTGCTTGGCCCTAGATTCTCAAAGCAAGAACCCAAAATGTGCGAATGTAGGCGGCCCGCACTTTTGAAAGCCTAATCCTGACACCAGAAAAATTGTCTTCCATGACTGTAAAGGTGGGGGGAGGCACTGGATTAAAAGATTTAAGCTGAAGCTCAAAAAAACAGGTGCACATCTCAGGCATCAAAGACCAGCAAACAGCTAGTTCTGTAATATCGTTAAAAGAGATCAGAAGTTCTGAGCTGAGGTGAATCTTCCAGCATGAATGGGTAAAGCAGATTTTTTTTTTTTTTGGTACCGGGGATTGAACTCGGGTCCTTGGGCTTGCGAGGCAGGCAGCGGAACCACTGAGCTAAATCCCCAGCCTAGAGCAGATTTTTTTAGATGAGAAATTATTTTATCATATTTAGAATCAAAATATCCCTTAAAATATTTATACTTTACAGTAAAAAAGATAGCAAAATACAAGATCATGTGCAAACTTAGTTATTCAAGTTCTGAAGAGCCAAAATGTGAAAACAATGGTCTACTACAAGCAGTTGTGTGTGGTAGTAAATTTCTTCAGTGAGTGCAGGTTGAAGTAGTAAATGTAACTCTTGGGTTCTGATTCCTGGTGGTGACAGACCGCTCGACTGAGTGATCAGTATAACGCAGCTACCAGCTGCTTAGCTTTGTGTTGCCCCTCTAGAGTTTATAAACAGTGCAGTTTTAAACTTACAGAGTACACATTACTCAAGTGAGCCATATAAAGGACACTAGAGGCGGTAAATATATTCCACAGTTAGCCATATTTACCAATTCAGGAATAAAAACTAAAATTTCTAAGCCTTTATTGCATATTTCTGTTTTGTTCTCTGTCTAGTCCAGGCTGGCCTCGAACCCCTGTCAATCCTCCTGCCTCAGCCTCCCGAGTGCTGGGATCACAGGCATACCCACACACAGCTTTTTATTGCATATTAATAAAACATCTTTTTTTAAATTTTTTTTATTTTGGTGTTGTTGAGACGTACCTGGAACTCACTATGTAGCCCAGGCTGGAGTTGAACTCCCAGCGATCCTGCCTCAGCCTCCCGAGTGCTGGGATTACAGGCGTGTGTCACCATGTCCAGCTACAACAAATCTTTGAATATGCAGCAATGTAAAACTGTCAAAAACGCTGAATTCCTGTAACTAGATTTAGTATGAAGAGAGGAGCATTGGTGCACAGCTCACAGTGGCAGGCAGGGTCCAAGGTCCCGCAGCCCACCAGCAGGACTGAAAGGTGGCACAGTCACAGCAGGCAGGCGAGGGATGTATGCTTCCAGCATTTGTAAATGTTGCTCTGCAGCAGCCTGCAGACTTTGCCTTTTGCTTTTACCTCTGTCAGTCTGGTCCCTATCTTTGTGGTACCTCTCCCTGTCCTTTCCCCCTGTTTCCTTTTTTCTCGTTCTTTGTCCTTTTCGTGGTCTTCACTTTTAAGTTTGTCTGGTTTCTCTTTCACATTTCTTTTATCTCAGATAAAGCAGAATTTTGAGAGGCATCTAAGCAGTGCATCAGTTATCTGTTGCCATCTAACAAAAATCACCCTGGACTGGGTAGGTCAGTGCACTCCTATAGTCACAGCCCAGACGGGGGAACTTAGCGGGACCCTGTCTCAAAAGGGTTGGGGATGTAGCTCAGTGCAAAGGCCCTGGGTTCAATCCCAGGCACCTCAAATGGCTTAAAACATCTCAGTTTCTAAGTGGTCATACTGGCTGTCTTAGTTACTTTCCTGTTGTTGGGACAAAATATCTGACACCCGTACAAGTTGAGGTGGTGAGGTTTATTTGGCTCACATTTTATAGAGGTTCAGCCCATAGTAAGCTGGATCCAAGGCAGGGCAGCATAGAAACTGCTCCTGGCGGGCAGCAGGAAGCAACTCTGAAAGCAGCAGGGTATATACACCTATGTCTATCTCCAGCCATGCCCACAGCGGCCCTCCACCTACCACGCTTCACCTCCTGACATCATGCCTGCTGTAACACCTCCAGTGATCTAATCCAGTATCACACCCCTGATCCAGTCACCTCCCAAAGCCGCTCCTATGAGCACATGAGGCTTTCGGGGTTGCCTAGATACAAGCCATAACTGTGGCACACACCTGTGATCCCAGCACTGCTGAGGCTGAGGCAGAAGGATCACCTTGAGTTCGAGGGTCAGCCCAAACTACATAATGAGACCCTGTCTCAAATGACAAAGACAGGGAAGAGTAATGGTGGAGTGGGACATGGAGGTGCACACTTGTAACACCAGCTACTCAGGAGGCTGAGAGAAGGATTCCAAGTCTGAGGCCAGCCTGGTTGGCTTAGCAAGACTGTCTCAAAAAGGGCTGTGACTCCGATAGAGCACCCCTGGGTTCCATCCCCGGAGAGGAGGAGCTAAGTGCTTACTGGGAGGCTCTGTCTGAGCGGTGCTGGCCCCAGTGGCCCAGGTGGGAGCCAGCCTGGTGAAGGAAGGAGATGCAGTCGGAGTCGGGAAGACAGGATGTAGGAAGGCTTCAGCCTGTACTGCCCACCCATCGTCCTTCCTGGTAAGGGTTCGCAGTCCTACACGCTTGCCGCCCACTTTTTATTCAATCAATCAGTACCAGCGTTTTGACTAAAATTCTGGAATAAATATAAACCAGGTAATTAGTGGTGTGTTTTCTCAGTGTTGGAGTGGTAGGCAATTTGTGGGTGATTTCCATCTTTTTGCATATGATTTTTCTACAGTGACTTCTGTGGGTGATGAAAGCTGGTGGTAGTAGGTGCTTCTTGCAGTCAAGCCAGGCTGTCAGTGCGTGGTGACGTGGATGGGGATCCAGGGCCAGGTTTCCAGTTCTTTTTTTTTTTTTTTTCCCTAAAAATAAAATGAATGCTTTATTTGAAAGTCTCATACAAAATTTTAAATCTTTCACCTTATTAATTACAATATTTTATTTATTTATTTATTTGTTTTTTGAGACAGGGTCTCACTGTAGTTGAGACTGATCTGGAACTCACTATGTAGCCCAGGCTGATCTCAAACACAGCGATCCTCCTGCCTCAGCCTCCTGAGTGCTGGGATTACAGGCGTGTGCCACCACACCCGGCAATTACAATATTTTATTTGTTTTGTTTTTGTTTTTTGGTACCAGGGATCAAACTTGGGTTTTTGTGCCTGCGAAGCAGGTGCCATCCCTGGCCCCAATTACAATATTTTAAATTCATTGAATATAAT